CGCCCCACCTCCATCCAGCTCCTCTCCGTCGGGTGACAGCTGCCGGAGAGCCGCAAAGTCGCCGTTTTTCCGCTCCGCCGGGTGACAGCCGCCGGAGACGACTCGACAACCCATTTCATTAATCTCTAGACTTCGCGAGAAGATCTAGAGATTGCCCACGTCGTCTTTGTCCAAGGAGAGACTTCGAGGCCGTGGACACTACACGACGATCCTCCCGAACGCTTAGGATTCCGGTGCATCGCCGACGCATTGCCGTCGCGATGCCGGAACTCTGTTTTCCTGCTTTCAATTTAATTTACGCTTCATTTAGTGATACTTTGTGTGATTTTAATTTACCAAACTATACTTTGTTCAATTATGATTCTTCCGGCTTTTACAGATCTTAATTTGATTAATTAAATCGTCTGTAATCGCTTACGTAAGAATCGCCGGGCGGAACTCTGGTTCCGCCCGATTCGCGTTCGCCAGGCGCTGATGTCATCTTGACGTCTGCACCCTTATTTCCTTTTTTTTGTGAATTTTAAATATATTTCCTTTTCATTTTCTAGTATAAAATTCATAGAAAATCGTATTCATTGAGAAAAAATCTGAATAATTACAAAATATTATATTACATCCCTTTGATTGACCTGGGAAATTACCGCTAATTTTGGAAGTTTATTGAATTATAATTGATATATTTATTTAGAAATACTTCTAAATATCTGAAAATTCGTATTTTCTAGTTTTATAAATTTAATATTTGCGTGATTTAATATACAACGACTAAGTCACGTCAATGAGTATCATGAGTTGAATGCAATGGATATAAATGTAAGTAGAGTACTATCAAAGTTTTTTGTGCACGACATTTAAGTCTCTCTCTGCCCCTCTTGTTGGCTTTTAGAACATTTATAATTTTATAGAAGGGTGAAATAATAATTTTATAGAGTCTGGGGATATGTTGAGAATATAGTGATAGATAACCTTTAGAAAAGTCTAAGGTGATTTTGTGACTGATTGCATGACTGAAAGTGTCTCTTGTTCTTTTATGGAAGGACTTGATAATTTATTGGTAAGAGAGGCACCGCACAAGGGTAGTATAATATGATGTTTTGATTTCTCAATAACTCTCGCCTATTTGGCTTAAATTTTTTCTTGATTTACATTTGTGAATTTTCTCTTCATTACATTGAAAATCTTTTAATCCAAATTGTCAAATTTTCTTATCATTTTATAGCTGATTTTTCAAGGTACTTTTCCGTTTTTTTCTTTCAACATGTGGAGAACTCATATAAATAAAAGGATAAGGGGTGTGGAGTTACGTTCCAAAATAGGAAAAAGAAAAAAAGATTACAATACCATGAACCTAGCTGTTGGGGTCACCATTTTCACTTTTTTATTTTCAAAATTTTAAAAATTTTAGAAATTTTGCCGTTACATATTTCTTAATTCCTCTGTATGAGGAAATAGGTTTTTAAGACTAAATTCAACATTTATCTCTCAACCATTCAATCACCCTTGCCCCAAAAGACACTTTTGCATCTGCATTCCAAGGAATTCATGCCATGAGAGGTTATGTGCCTAATTTTGAAAAATATTTATTTGTTCTTAGTTGCTAGTTGACTTTTGAAATTTTGAGCTGACTTAGATCCATAAAGCAAAAAAAGATTATTTCGGTCTTGCTTGAACTGGGCCTTTAGAGATGTGAATTTTCTAGAGCTAGATGTTGGGTAGAGCTGTAAAGCGCTATTCTATGTGTTCCATTTGTTTGAAAGTCAGTCTTCACTTCATTGACTTGTCATGGCTAACCTCAATCCTCAATAAATGGTTTGGTGCTTTGACTTGATATTGGGATAGCTTCCATCTTTGTATTATGTCTACTAAATCTTCGTTTTAAATTTAATAATTTGGGCAAATGCATGAGGAATAAAGAATAAATTCCCTGATTCGTTGGTAGGCAAGGCAATGAGTCTCAACATCTCGACATGCCATAACCATTGGTTTAAGGATGAGTTTGACTGTGACACTTGTTTATTCATTGAACTTAGAACTAGTAGGAATATTTATGGTTTATTGAAATACGTAGAATACTACACATGACACATCAATGTACATTGATGTGTAAGTTTAGACATTGGCAAAAGGAGCCATAAGAAAACTAAGTAAAGCATGTAATGGATAGGATACAATGACAAATGTAATGTATGTAAAGTCAGATGTGTGGAGATAATGATTTTCTTCAAGTGTAGAATGAGAACACCAAATGCAAGTGTATGCCCCCACATGCTAGTAATCACATACATACTAATCCAATAATAGTGTTCTTTCATATTGTCCGTGCATTTATCAAAAAATTGAGTTTCCTCGTTAAGACATACACATAAATCCCTTTATTATTTTTCTTATTTTAAGTTCAATATTAGCTTTTTCCCTTGAAACCTTATGGATCTGCCATTCATGGATTGAGGATTGATTCGTCTTTGTAATTAAGTTACATTCGTCTTCCAATTCTTGCCATTCGCTAGGCTGTTCAAGTAGTGCAATATTTTTTGTTAACTTTGTCGTTTGATTGGTATTATGAAAGATTTAGACATATAAACCTGTTTACATTTTTTCTGTAAGTGAAAAGCTGGAACCAATCAAACAGCAAAAAATTGTGATGGTTGTAGACTAAAGTGTGCTGTAGTCATCAATTTTAAGAATAATACTTCAAATATCAAAACTCTTAATTAATGTTTTTATGTCTAGGCTAAGGGATTTAGAGAATATTTTAATTTATAAATTGTATAAATTTCTCACTAAAATATAGACAGTAGTTTCAACATATTACTAAAATTTAATCAAAGAATGACGTAAGAAATTTCAGTCTCTATTCATGTCTTTCATTCGATGCTTAAAAACTATAATGACTTGCAACACGCCATCTTAAGGTAGAGCGTGAATAAAGTCTTTCCAACTAGGACCTTCTCTTAGACTAGAAAAGAAAATACTGATTAATATAGCGGAAATTCCGCTCAACCCTTTCCATCATATGGTTTCAACATTTTTAATTTATGAGAGATCATCTCTAGATGGACAACCGGAACACTCAACTTCCCAGTGATGTGGAATATAGAACGAATTATGAATGTAAATACAGACCTTACTAAACTAAATTTTTAGGATGAACCAGTTCAGTCACTGATTCAATAGAATTATTTCATAGAAATGATATTATAAGAATATTTTGACATTAGATTGCGGCAAATCGTTGATTTCACGTGTGGATGAAGAGATTGAATGAAGCAAATAACAAAGGACTTGTAGACTGAATTATGGTCGATGCAAACAAGAAGAGTTCATTTGGGTGACTTCGCTTCTCCCATCCACAGAGATTTCAAGAGCAAATTGCCTTCCAAAGACATGGAGACCTCGGCAGCTCTCACGTTGACCACCGACGAATAGAACATGAGTACGGTGGCGCTTACCGAGGCTGCAGCGGCACAGCCAGGGTAGGTAGGCCCTGCTGAAATGGCTGTTACCGGCCGTTGAGACTTCCCTAGTCCATTCTCAAATGTCATCGTGGAAGATACGGGTCAGACTCCACCGTAAACCAGTTCTTATTCAAAGAGATTCCAAGTGAATATCTCAGGCTCCATCCGAGAAAGTGAAGATATTTAAGAGTGATGAATACGACAGATGACCTCGTGACAAAAAAATGTACAAAAAAACTTGCGTACAAGGTTAAGGAAACGTGTAGTTTTTGGCGTTAAATCCTGACGAAGGTAGAGAGAGATAGGTAATTTCACATTTCTTTTTACTGATTAATATAGAGAAAATTCCGCTCAACCCTTTCCATCATATGGTTTCAACATGTTGAATTTATGAATTGTGGTCCAACTAAACAGGAAGATTGCATTTCAGGGATTTGCTTTCTTCCATCCGCAGAGATTTCAAGGGCAAATTGTCTTCCTAAGAGATGGAGACCTCGGCGGCTCTCAGCGTGACCGCAGACGAATAGAACCTGTGCGGCGGCGTTACGGAGGCAGCGAGAGCAGCCAGGGTAGGTAAGCCCTGGCCATTAAGACTTCTCTAGTCGATTCTCAAATGCCACCGTAGAAGATACGGCTCAGAGTACACCGAAACCAGTTCGAATCAAAGAGATTCCAAGTGAATATCTGAGGATAAATCCAAGGAAGTGAAGATATTTAAGATTAATGAGCACCACAGATCACCTCGTCACAAAAACAAAATGTACAAAAGCTTGCACACAGGGTTAAGGAAACATGTAGTTTTCGCCGTTCAATCCTGACGAAGGTAGTGAAAGATGGGGAATTTCACATTTCTTTTTACGGTCTCTAACCCTCTCATGTTTTACCCGTAGGGGTAACAGACGCAGGGCGGCGGCGAGGCACGACCCACTCGTGCATTATTGTCACGGTGACATGAGAATGAACTGTAAGCTGACCTCCACAACAACAGAATAAAGTGTAATTATCTTTCTAAATAACCCTGTGATCATCGACTTTGTGGAAGTCATAATATGAAAAATGTACTGGCATAACCATGAATTTCGTGTGAACTTGTGATCATCACACAAGAATATCCACGGATATCCATGAAGGAAAATTTCGTGTGGATGTACTAGGGTCAGTTGTACTTACCTCAAGGTTTGGTACACAAAGCAGATAAATCGATTGAGAGAGATGGCATCTTGATTTCTTAGAGAAGCCGAAGAACTTGAAACGACCTCTCCACGCCCGTTCAAACGGAGGCTACGAGAGGTCACATCCTCCAAGGTGATCGGAACATGAGAGTCTCTGCCCATCTCCTGTTAGAAATAAGACACGTGTGGCGGCGATCGGGAACCTCAGGCTGTCCTGCACCGTCATAGAATTCCTCCGGCGATTCCCAGTCCTCTTTGGCCACCTCCCACATGGAGACCAGGGTGGGGAGATGAATCCATGGAACTACCCATATATAGCAGCATTAGAGGAGAACACTCAAGTCAGTTCTTCCTGCACGCCCAACACAGACGCATGGCTACCGCAAGACCCTCTTCAGCCATTCTCAAGCTGGCAGCTCTCCTGATGGCGCTCGCCGTGACCATCGCTCCGGCGGCGGCAAGCCAGCTGAACCTGTACACGGGGGTCAATTGCTCCGGCAGCTTCACAGCCTGCTTTGACCGGGCGTGCTGCGTCGTCCCCTCCAACGCCGTCAGCTACAGGTTCTACTACAACCCCAGCTGGAAGGCCTACTTCTATGGCTCCGCAGGATGCACCGGCAGCAGCAGTAACGTTCTCGCTGGGGACGTCATCTGCGCCAACGGAGTGAACTTCAGGAGCGCCTTCCTCACCGACACTCTGCCGACGCTGCAGTTGGTGACCGAGAACTGAGCGCCACACCGCGATGGTCAGCCATAGCTAATAAAAGCCGGCCGCATTGCTCCGAGCTTGCAAGCCGTGGGTATGCCTGAGGCGGCTATCTACCATAGGTGTCGTAGAGAGTGGAGTCAAAGATTAGAAGATAAGGTGGTAAATTGTTCTACGGGGATTCGATGTCGTTGTTGCTTTATTACTTTGCATGAATTCATAGGATATAGATTATAATGTTTATCACAATATTTTACCGCTGAGGATTCTGTCCAAGACTACCAGGTTGTGGTTATATGAGTGGGCATACTTCGTGGTTAATTAGTCTTCAGCTGGATGCTCGATATAAATAATATTTTACTTTAAAAGTACCAATTCCAAATAAATAGTATTTCTGAAGCACTTGAAAACTAGTGACCTATCCGGTTACATCTGTATAAACGAAGGTATGATGGAGCTTTCACTTGGATGGATCAGGATTTTCACAGATCTTTTCATTTCAATAGATAGCTCTGGCAGAGTATGGGGCTGGGGGTATTAGGTTATTCACTAGCCTAAATGCAATTTTTTAACCACGATACGGGCAGATGGACATTGGAGAGCTGACTGCTCAGTCGGTGGGGAGGCTGGAATTAGATCTCTCAAGACTCTCAAAATGAGTAGTCCTAGTTAATAAATAACTGGCGCTATAAATGGCCCCATTGAATGTAGTGAAGTTGTTTTCAAATAATAAAAATGATTTAAAATATAATAGAGCTACAAATATAAAGTATTTTACCCTTATAGAAAGTTGATGGATGACATTGTGTGTATAAAAATGTATTGCAGAAAAAGTGTTTAATGTTGAACAAATGACTAAGAATCGGCAAGAAGTATATTTATGGTTATATTCCCTAAACTAACCCTAATGTGTAATCCATATAAAAAGAGACATTCTTAATTTATGAGATTACTAGTATCTAAATGATGGGTTCCATTTAATCTTCAGTTGTCCTAGTTTAGCAGAAGCAAACTTTTTTATTTGAATCCTTTAAGGGGATATGATAGAAACATCATGATCAAATATTCATCACAAACACAAGAAGACAGAATAAATAGAAGAATAACATAAGAAGACTCTCTTGAGTGGATGATTAAAGAATAATTGAAATCGTTGTTTCGGTGGTTTGGCACTAATTAGCTACTCTACTCTCTTAGGGCCTTGTGTCTTGATTTGACTAACATTTAGTTGATAAAATAATTAGACATGAAGGTTCGGTACCACCTCTTCCATGCTTGATAGTTTAAACGTGAGCTTATACATAATTTTTAAATGAAGACTTTTGATCTGATAGGTAAACAATTTTATGAAAGATGATGAGAGTTAGCATTTGAAGACTGGAGTTTCTCCATTAGCTTAATTAATAGAAATGGCTCAGTTTTAGAGTGATAGGGGCTGTTAGTTGAAACTTGTAATTTAGATTAGTATCTTCATCCTAGCTTTTCCCAAAGTGTTGTCCTACCAATTAATCAATGGTGGTATGTTAGTGAAACCACCTAGGGCAAAACAAGTTCGTATGTTAATAGTCATGTGCGTCTACTCTTCAAAGATTGTTAATTGTTATGGAAAGCCAAGCTTTTGATCCATATTTTTGTATATGCAAGATCTGAAAGAGATATGAAGAAGGATGAGTTTGGTACTAACTGCATAATCAAAATGAATTGACTCTCTTACTAGGCAGACAACACATGATAATTTGATAGCATTACCACCCTTGGCTTACTATACTATTTTATGACCTTTCTATGAGGTTTTACTAAGCTTAAATTAATATTTAATTTTAATATTAACAAACTAGTTTGTCTCATTAGTTTGTATTCTATTTGTATAAGTATCCCTAATATTGGCTTCTAGATTCATTGTTCTAGGTCAGTCCAAGTATGCCTAACATTTGGAACATAATAGCTTTAGGTTGTTATGACCACTTTGTGTACACACTATTTGTCCACCTCTTAGTACCCTTAGTAAAAATATATAGCAAAAATCGAGTATGATGACATCTGATTTGGATCAGTTTTGAATAAAGAGGATGACTTTAAATGGGAAAGCTTCGATTTTGATGTAGTTGCAGAATCACAAGATTTTCTTCTTTGAGGATATGAAATTTCATTTAGAGGGATCAATGATAAAATATGTGACTAATCCTTTTATACAATTTTTTTTAAAAGAAAGTTTCTTATAGTTGGTTGCAGCCATGCTGACAATTAGTCATGAGTTTCTAATGAGTACTTTATAGTTACTAGATTTCCTTTTAGTCTTGTATATTGGTCACATTGCATTGGTCTTAATTCGATTGTAACTATCTTCTATAGGGTTAATTGACTTCTTTTCTGGAAAGAAGAAAATGGAGAATTTTTCTTACTAACATTTGGGTAATGTTTCTTTAGTTTTCTCGTGATCAAGAAATTTAGTATTTACTGATCATTAATCAACATGTTCCCCCCTAAAGTTAATATTTTGTTATATATTTAAGAAATTATTTTATATCTATGAATAATTGAATGATTTTATTTTTAATTGTAACTCTCCATTAATTGTGTTCATAAATCAAATTTATTGTATGTATAAAATTCTTACGGGACATTATAAATCAAATTTTTTCAAAAGAACTATGTATAAACTTTTAAGCATTTATCACCATTTTCTTCTGACAATAAATGAGGCTATTATTCATAGTATGAATTGAAAGAGCTTGTTTCCTTGTTAATGTGACGACTTCTGCATCTTTGACATTTCTTTGGCTATATGGTTATTGTTGCGTCAATTTAGGTTAAAGAAACTAAATGAATACTGCACTTTTTATAATAATAAAACTTTAAAATAGTGTTGATCTTTGAAATCACAAAATTTTTATTTTAAATTAAGAGGGATGAATTTTTGATTCATTATTGATTTGAAAAAAGTATGTGAGTACTACTTTCTTCACAATAGCAAAAAGCTTCTTAAGAATCTTGAGAGGTGAATCACTAGATTTTCTTCATTTTTAATTCAAAACATAACATAAAATCAACGATACAGAGGCAATTCTATTGGTAGAAAGTGCAAGTAGTTTAGGCTTTTTGGTGATGAAAAAAATTTAGAACAATCTCAATGTGGGAAATGTCAAATAAAACTTTTTATATTGAATGTAATTTTGAGGTTGAAATGTCCATTTGGAGTAACCATAGGTGATTTATGGAAACTAGTTGTAAAACTGTTTAGAACTACCTATTTATGCCTTTGAGAAACAGTATTTTCTTTTTTAATTTAAAATATTCAATTCTGCAGAAATAAGTATGATTTAAACTTTATGGAAAGAAAGCTTTCAAAAATTTATGTCAATAAAGTGTTTGATCTTAAAGCAGTGTTTCCATCAAAGTTGTGTATACTAATTCACATGTATTAATGTTCTACTGTAAATTTGTTGAAAATTTGTGTTCCCTTGCTGGTGATATAGAAACATTTGAATTTGTATGAATGTGTATCATGAGTTGAATGCAATAAATAGAATACTATCAAAGTTTGTTGCATACTACACCTAAGTCTCTATCTCTCCCTCTTGTTGGTTTTTTAAGCATTTATAATTTTGATGATAATAAAATATATAAATGGGTAAAATAAAAATTTTATTGTGTTAGGGGTTATGTTCAGAATTTAGTGACAAAATAACCCTTAGAAAATTCTAAGGTGATTTTGTTACCTATTACATGACTCAAAGCGTCTTTTGTTGTTTAAAGGAAGGGACTTGACTGAACAATTTCTTGGTGAGAAACACACCACATAAGGGTAGTATAAAATGGTATTTTTGTTTGTCAAAAACTCTCACCTATTGGGCTTGAAAATTTTCTTTATTCATATCTGTAAACTTTCAATTTATTACATTGAAAATCATTTAATCCAAATTGTGAATTTTTTCGAAAGTACTTTTTTATAATTTCTTAGTTTATTTAATTTAATTTTTGGGTTATTTTTAATAGCAACATGTAGGGAACTCATATAAAGAAAAAGCTAAGATGTATGTTCTAACATTTGAAAATAGGAAAAGAAAAAAATTATAATACCATGAAGCCATCTGTTGGGGTCACCATTTTTAGCCTTTTTTTATTGTTAAAATTTTAAAAAATTGAGAAAAATGTCCTTACATAAGGATCATTCAGCGTAATTCCTCCATTGAGGAAACATTTTTTAAAGACTGAATTTAACATTTATCTCTCAACTGTTAAAGCACCTATGCACCAAAAGACACTTTCCACCCAAATGACAAGGAATTCACGCACAGTGGGTTATGCATCTAATTATGAAGACCATTTTTTTTTTTAGTTTATTATTGATGACTTCTAATACTCTAATCTGGCTTCGAGCTATAAATCTAAAGAGATTATATTGGTCTTTATTTGACTAGGTATTTTGATAAACTACTTTGACATAAGAGTTTTTTACAACTAGAGCTAGTCTAGTATTGTAAAGGGTGATGAACTTGATTTAGAGGTTAAATATGTCATTGTGATGCAACCAAGTTGATGTAAATAACATTTATAAAACTTCATTCTTCGATTTAGGATAAGGGGTCCTCAAGAAATGTGGGTAATAAAGGTAAGAATTCTACTTATTTTATTTCTTATATATATATATATATAGATATACTTGAGATTGTAAAAAGTAGAATTAGATCTAAAAAAGGTGAAGACAAGATAATTGAAAATTTTGGCAAAGAAGGGAGAATAGATCTGACATAATAGAATGATAGAATAAATGATAAAATTAGTTTGAACTAAGAGTTAATCTATCCATAGAAAAGATTACAAAAATGCCTTAGATCTTGATCATGCACAAACCTCGTTGTGTGCTAGTCTTAGGTTGAGTGGTGTTTGATCCACGATGATCTTAATGCGCTCTTGGTAGTCTCTTCTCTATGACAATTTTGGGCACGAGAATGCCATTGACCCAGCCTTGATTTTTCTCTTTTTCCTTTGGCTAGCCTCTACTAGAGAGAGAGGCAAAAAGCGTCCTCTAAGAGGGGGGTGTGAGGCCTTAAACCTCTAAAGAATTAGGCCCCTCTAATAAATACTTATGATTAATAACTGACTTTCGTAGTAGACGGCTTAAATTTTTCTATGAGAGCGGTGCTCTAATCCTCCTTGTAGTCTCTTCTTAGGGCATCCTAAGATGGGTGGCCTAGATCTCATCTTTTGATAGTCTTTTTAAGTTCAAATAGGTTAGGCCAAAGTCATGCACCACTTAAGGTCCAAATAGGCCTGATCAAGATGATGTTCTCTCTTGGGCCCATAAACATATTAAGTCGGCCCTCTTCATAAGACTTGGAGTTTTTTTATTACTTTCAACTCATAATAAGAGCTCACCTAAGTCATTGTAATCAAATAATTATCAAGAAAATATGAGAGAATCACCAACTAAAATATGAACAATACTACACATTAAACATTTGGTAAAAGGAGTGATTAGAAAAATATGTAAAGCTGTTAATAGCTAAGATACAATGACAAATGTAATGTCTGTAAAGTCAAATGTATGGAAATAATGATTTTCTTAGAGTGTAGAATGAGGACACCAAATGCAAGTGTTCTTTCATATTTTGCAACAATTAACCAGTTACATACTTATCCAATAATAGTGTTCGTTCATATTTTTCATGCATTTATCAAACCATTTAGTGTCCTCGTTAATACATGTCCATAAATCATTTAATTATTTCTATTCTTTAGTATTTTTTATTTTAACTTCAATATGAGCTTCTTCCCTTAAAGCCTTAGGGAGCTACCATTGATGGTTAGAGGATTGATTTATTTTTTTAATTAGGTTACATTCCTCTTCTAGTTCTTAGAATTCGCTAGGCTGACTAAGTTGTACCATATATTTTTGTTAACTTTGCGGTTTGTTTGGTTTTATGACACATTTAAACTTATAAACCTGTTCACACCCTTTGATTGGTGTAATCTGTTAGTGAAATGTTGGAACCAATCAACCAACAAAAAAAATTGATGGACGTAGACCAATGTTTGCTTTAGTTATCAATTTATAAAATAGTACTACAAATAACAAAACTATTTTATTATTTTTTACTCCTGATTAATGTTCTTAAGTCTAATTTATAACAAGATTGGCTTAAGAATATAGATAATAGTGTTAGTTAATTTTTTAACAAATTATTCCTTGAAATATATGTAGTAGTTTTAACATAATAATGACTAAAATTGAATCAAAGATTGACTTGCAGGATTTAAGTTTCTACTAATATCTTCCGTTCAGTTCCTAGAAACTGTAATGACTAACAGAATTCCATCTTAAAGGGATAGTGAAGAAAATATTGCCAACAGACGCATTTTCTTTGACTAGAAAAGAAAATATAGATTAATAAAGAGGAAATACCACTCAACACTGTCCATCATATGGTTTCAACATGTCCAATTCATGAGATTCATCTCTAGATGGACCAGCGGAACATTCAACTTCCAGTAGAGAACGAATTAGGAATGTAAATAAAGGCCTAAACTAAATTTTTATGATGACCCATTCCAGTCACTGATTCAATAGAATTATTCCATAGAAATGACATTATCAGAATATTATTGTGTTACATTGCAACAAATCGTAGATTTTACGTGTGGATGAAGAACTTAAATGAAGCAAATAAGAAAGGACTTGCAGACTGAATCGTGGTCCATCTAAAGGACAAGAGTGCCTTTGAATGAGTCGCCTTCTCCCATCCACAGGGATTTCAAGGACAAATTGTCTTCCCAAGAGATGGGAGACCTCGACGGCTCTCAACGTGTCCTTGCATGAATAGAACTTGTGCGGCAGCGCTACGGAGGAAGCAACGGTGCGACCACGGTAGGTCCTACTAAATTGAAGTTAGCGGCTGTTAAGACGTCCCTAGTCGATTCCCAAATCCCACCGTGGAAGATACGAGTCAGAGTACACCGCAAACCTGTTCCGAGGAAAGAGATTCCAAGTGAATATCTGCGAATCGATCAGAGAATGTGAATATATTTAGAAGAGTGATGAATACGACAGATCACCTCGTGATAAAAATGTACAAAAACTTGTACATACGGTTAAGGAAACGTATGGTTTTTGGCGTTCAATCCCAACGAAGATATTGAAAGATGGGTAAATTCACATTTCTTTTTACGGCCTCTAACCCTCTGATGTTTTCTCCGTAGTGGTGTAGTTTAGTCCCGTATTTATGGGCTGGGATGATAGAGAGAAGAGGAAGCTCGCAGAAGGGAGGGAGTATTGTGGGTCACACAAGTGGTCATATGGAGACAGACGCAGGGCGGCGGCGAGGGCACGAGCCACTTGTGCATTATTGTCACAGTGACGTGAGAATCAACTGTAAGCTAACCTCCAAAACAACAGATTAAATTATTAATTCTCTTTCAAAATAACCCTGTGTTCATCAACTTTGTAGAAGTCATTATATGAAAATGTACTGGCATAACCAATTCCTCGCACAAGAATATGCACGGATATCCATCCAGGAAAATTTCGTGTGGATGGACAAGGGTCAGCTGTCATTGCCTCAAGGTTTGGTGCACAAAGCAGATAAATCGATTGAAAAATATGGCAACTCTAGTTAAACTTTCCGCCACAAGTATGAAACATTTAGAAAGATACTTAGTTGTTCTTAATGTCGTATAGTATCATACAATTTAACAATATCATTTGTAACTGAAGCCATCTTGAAGTTGTCAGAAAAAACAATTTTTGGAGTAACATTTGCAAACTTACTTTAAAGAGGAGATTCATTCAGTTGACGCTAGATTCTTTTCTGTTTTATACTTTCTTTTATCTGCTGAAATAGTCTCCTTGTTTATCTAAAATAAGAGACGAGTCCAAACTACTTGGGGAACTGCTAATTGTCAGTCTAAAATTCCACTACGAGTCTTCATTCAGTTTCACACTTTGTGCCTATTATCTATGTTTAGAGAAGCATTCATAACATTACAAATGTTATGCTGAGTCAAGAAAAACGCAAGAGTAATGGGATGCTGCGAAAAAATATTTTCATGCGACCACCCAGTCCAATACATAAATGGTATGAAAAGTTCTAGGTTAAAGTAACCCACAGTTGGGAGCATAAAAATTGACATATGTTTTTCTTTTGTCCAATTGTTTCCATTATGGGACGTTAAAAAACACAATTTGAAACAAGATAGATGTCTCGTCTGAAACTGACACCAGGACTTCAAAGGCCAGACATTAGACCCCGCCAGCTCTAGGCCTGTTAGAAATAGGTCACGGGTTCGGTGGGAGAAGGGAATGACGACGGCTCACACGTCGTTAGCACGTGCGAAAGCAACATCAACGACGCACATCTGTCTCGCCGTCAATTATGAGCCGCCGCCAGAGAAGACCGACTTCTCTATGCACTGCCAGCTGTATTTGTTACTTCGAATCTAGGAGAATATACTGAGCACGAGAACAAGAGCAATTAGGAGAGCTATAGCATGAACATCGTCCTCGAGCTTCTCACACAAGATGCGGTCAGTGAGAGAGAATGAACATAACTAGGATACGATGTATGGTACTGTGGTCCACTCTTTTCAAGAAGAAGAGAGAGTGAGAGGACAAGAACAGAATTTGCTTGGACGTATGACGAATGGTTCATTTTCATGCAGAGGAAAACAAATTAGGTGAGAGAAAAACAGTAGATCTACTCTCTTGCACAAGCTGTGGGTGGGGGGGGGAGAGAGAGAGAGAGAGAGAGAGAGAGAGATTCAGATTCCTGAAGTGAAAATCGCTATAAATAGGAGGGGATACAGAGAACTCTCCAACGATACCTAACCAAGCTAGCCATCTTTTTCTAGTGTATATACTACTCATGGCCACCGCCAGGTACTCGACCATCTTCATGGTTCTGGTGGTGCTCCTAGCCTCGGCGGCTTTCCCGGCGGCAGCGAGCCAGCTGAACCTGTACACGGGGGTCAATTGCTCCGGCAGCTTCACAGCGTGCTTTGACCGGAACTGCTGCACTGTCCCCTCCAATGCCGTCAGCTACCGGTTCTACTACAACCCGAACTGGAGGGCCTTCTTCTACGGCGCCGTTAGGTGCGAGAGCAGCGCCAGCAACGTTCTCGCTGGCGACGTCGTCTGCGCCAATGGGGTGAACTTTAGGAGCGCCTTGCTCACCGACGGCAGCTCTATCGAGATGGTGACCGAGGAGCAAGCTCCCGTCGACAAGGTGTAAGAGTAAATAAAGCCTCCTGCCGGCGGCGCTGCCGGCCTTGGTCGGCAATCGCCGGCGGCGGGTATAGCGGTGGTTGTGCATCTATCGTGTGCAGTTCAGTCTCATCACTTTCTCTAACCTGCTACGCCCGGGTGGGGAAAGAGAAAACGATTAAGTGGGAAGGTTATCTTCATGTGCCTTAAATGTTTCTTTCAATAAAACTTGATCATATTCTCTACCACAGAAGGAACGGACAGTTTCAAGTCCCGGCCTGAAGATAGTTGTGTTATAAAAACAAACAAATTGAGCATAAAACGTCTCTATCCTCTTCGTGGTTAGTAAGGTTTTTATCAATTCTCTCTTGATCAGCAGAGCTTATGAAATTATTGCAGGATGGACATTGTTGCGGTTGTTGCTAAAAAGTCATTATTTGCGAATATTTCTGTCTAAATTAAATTTCTTGCAAGAATTTCAAAATGGAAGGTATTACTGTTAGATTTATCCAAAAATCCATGTACTTATCAATATTTTCTGACCAAAACACGATTTTAGGGGAGAAAATCCTCAGCAAAAGGATGAATATGGGATTATTAAAAGTTGCCTGACCTTTCCCCAATTAATTAGAAGCATAGCCATGTTTTTGCCTAGTCAAGTTAAATTCTCATGTTAAGGAATCCGAACTAACTTTAGTTTTTGTTAACCCCTTGGCAACCTTAAGGTAAACATTCTTTAGAGGACCTGTAACGTGACCTAAATTTAAGATGACTCAGGATTTCTCTATAATAAAACTCAAATTGAATACTGCACATTTGCACCCAAAGTTGTCAATGGTTTCCTTTGTGGGGAGAGCTCTCCTGTGCCACTCTGATTTATTTGGACTTGCAAACTATATCTTCCCATACCCTATATATTTCCTCATTGTCTCTCCCCTAGCTGCCCTCTCCTTCTCTAAATAGATATCTTCACCGTTATAACAAATAAAATTGATTAGAGACAAAAGCAAGTATAAAAGCTTCTTACTATAAAAGCTTGAAAATTGATCAACTCTCCTACTATTCTCCATCTCAAAAGCTTCCTCCATTTTCATCAGAGCTTCATTTGGTTGCTTTCAAAAATCTAAACAATTGTTGCAAAAGGAGAAATTCTTGTCCATTCATTTCACCATCCAAAATAGTGAATGCACATATATATATGGATGACATGGCTTAAAATTTTGACCTCCTTGTTCATTGACTTATGCTAACATAACCCATAAACCTTTTGTACATACTCTTGCCAATGTTGTCATGAGTCAATGCAAAATTTGTTTTTCTACAAATTACTTCATAAATTCCCTTAAAACTATAAAAACCATATTTTCTGAATTTTAAATTTACTATTAGTTTATTTTCAATTGTAAAATAATTCACATGGCTATAAATTTTAGATAAACATGGTGGTAAATAGGTTAAAACTGAAAATATATTTATGTAATATGAATTATAAAATGTATTGAATTAAGAATAACTTCATCTCATATTTTTGAAACCACAAACACATTTTAAACTTAATAATTAGTATTTTAACTATATTCATATGAAAATTACTTCAATTATACCTTATTCTTTATTTAAAAATAAAATATGACAATTTTTGCATAGTATTATGGCAATATCATATTCTTTCATCTGTTCCTTGAATAGTAAGAAGTAGAAGTTTTCTACTTGGAATGCCACATCTAAAACCATGATATCTTAAACATTAGACAATGCTATTTCTAGGAGATTATTTTCTTTGGTGGAGGAAATAGCATTTTTTTGCATGAAATTAGAAGAGACAGGACATTGAGTACTTGCCTAGTTAAAAATTTCCTCATGGCATATATTCCAAGTTTTATATCTTGTTAGCCATTTATCTCACTGTAGGGTAAGTTCATTAACTTTCCACCATCAGTAACTTTGCAAGATTCTTTTTTCTGTTTTGTACTTTCTTTTACGTTATGAAGCATTTTCCCTCTTTCTCTAGAAGTAGGAACTTTTTTCAAGACCATACTATTTGGAGAGTTGCTAACCGTTAGTCTAAAATTCCACAATGAGTGTTCATACACTTTCACACTTTGTGCCTGTTATCTATGATTAGAGAAGCACTCATAGCAGTACAAATGTGAAGCCATTGCTAAAAAAATAATTTTCTGCTGAGTAAAGAAAAACCCAAGACTAATGGAATGATGTGAAATCATTCTCATACAACCACGCAATCCCTGCGTACATGTAATAGGTTAAAGTATCCCACAGTTGGTAGCATACAAATGTATATCGCTTTCCTTCGGTCTTATAGTTTCCACTACGCAAGGAGAAAAATGACAATCTGAATTAAGATAGATGTCTCTTCTGAAACTGGCAGCGGGACTTCAAAGGCCGGATCTTTCCGAGTGATGAGAACCCCGGCGGCCCGAGGCCCGGGAGAAATGGGCACGCGTTCGGCGGCGGGAGAGCAGAGGGAGACAGCTCACCCGTCATCATCACGTGTGAAAGCAACATCAACGGCGGTCATCTGTCTCCCGGTCAATTATGAGCCGGCGCAGCAGAGGACCGACCTCGCCGAGCACTGCCAGCTGTCTTTGTAATTTCGCACACGAGAGAATATAACGAGCATGAGAACAATTTGGAGCGCTATAACATAAACATCCTGCCTTAGTTTCTCACACTAGATGAGGTCAGTGAGAGAACGAAAGCAACTAGGACACGCGATAGAACACCGTGGTTCACTCTTTTACAGAAGATGTCGAAGGGGAGAGAGAGAGAGAGGAAATGAACAAAGTTAGCCTGGACCATGACAGATGGTCTATCTTCATACAGAAGAGAATAAATTAGGAAAGATAAAAAAATCATTGGTCTTGCCTCTTGCGTAGGCTGTAGGGACAGAGGGGGACCTGAGAGAGAGAGAGAGAGAGAGAGAGAGAGAGAGGGGGAGTGAGAGAGGGAGAGAGGGAGAGAGAGGAGAGAGAGGAGAGAGGGAGAGAGAGGAGGAGAGGAGAGAGAGGGAGTGAGAGAGAGAGAGAGAGAGAGAGGGGAGTGAGAGAGGAGAGAGAGAGAGAGGGAGTGAGAGAGGGAGAGAGGGAGAGGGAGGAGAGAGAGGGAGAGAGTGAGAGAGGGAGAGAGGGAGAGAGGGAGTGAGAGAGAGAGGGAGAGAGAGAGGAGAGAGGGAGAGAGAGAGGAGGAGAGAGGAGGAGAGAGAGAGGAGAGAGAGAGAGGGAGAGGGAGGAGAGCGGGAGTGAGAGAGGGAGAGAGGGAGAGAGGGAGTGAGGGAGTGAGAGAGGGAGAGAGGGAGAGAGGGAGAGAGGGAGTGAGAGAGGGAGAGAGGGAGAGAGGGAGAGATCCTCTGAAGTTGAAATCACTATAAATAGGAAGGGATGGAAAGAACTCTCCAACGATATCTATCCTAATCAGAGAGGTCTTTCCCTCATGGCCACCGCTAGGTCCTTGTCCATCTTCATGGCTCTCGCTGTGCTCCTAGCCTCGGTGGCCTTCCCTGCGGCGGCGAGCCAGCTGAACCTCTACAAGGGGGCTTCGTGCACCGGCCGCTTCACCGTGTGCTGGGACCGACAGTGCTGCGACATTCCTTCCGATGCCGTCAGCTACAAATTCTACTACAACCCGGACTGGAGGGCCTACTTTTTCGGCGACGCCGAGTGCACCGGCAGCGCAAGCAATGTAGTTAGTAACAGCATTGACTGCGTAAATGAGGTGACCTTCAAGAGCGCCCTCCTCACCGATGAGAGCTCTATAGAGATGGTGACCGAGAAGCAACCTCCGATCGACGAGTCAGAGTAAATACAGAGAGCCACCGGCTGTGGTCGGTGATCGCCGTCGGCGGGTCTAGCGGCTGATGTGCGTCTATCGTATGCAGTTCAGTGTCTTCACTTCCTCCGACCTGCTGCGGCAGGGTGCGGAGGGAGATAAGAAGATTAAGTGGGAAGGTTCTCTTCATGTGCCTTAAGTGTTTCTTGCAGTAAAACTTGATCTATGTCACTTATCATATGCACTACTCCATACGGGCTGGACACTTGAAGTCCGGGTCTGAAGATAATTTTTGTATGATAACCAACAATGTGAACCTAAAACGCCTCAATTTTAATCGTGGTTAGTGAGATTTTAAATATGAATTCTCTCTTGATTTAAGCAGAGCTTAGCAAACTGTTGCCGGATCGATATTTTTTTGTCATCGATGGTTGTTGCCAAAGAAGTCATTATTTGTGAATATTTTTGTCTAAATTAAATTTCCAACAAGAATTCCGAAATGGAAAGTACTACTGTTAGATTTATCAAAAAATCCCCGTAGTTATGGGAAACTATTAACCGGAACACGAATTTAGATTATCAAAATCTCTGGAAAGGGAATGCATATCGGATTAGTAAACATTACATGCATAGCCGTGTATCCGCCCAGCCAAATTCAAATTTTTAACGGAATAAAGGTAACTTTGGCCGGCGAGTTTTTTGTTGACCCGTCGCCAGCCTTGAACCCATATCTATGCCTAACTTAAAGCACCCATACTTCAAGGATCCGTATATGTGGCCCACGCAAGTCAAGCATGTAAGTAATGAAACTCAAATTGAATTCTGAAGATTTGCACCCAAGGATGTCAATGGGTTCATTTGTGGGGAGAGCTCTCCTCTGCCACTCTGATTTGTTTGGAGTTGTAAACCATAACTTGCCCTACCCTGTTTATTTCCTCATTCTCCTTCCGCTAGCCACCCTCTCTCTCTCCCCTCTAAATAGATCTATGCACCATTATAACAAACAAAATACGATTAGAGACGAAACCAAGCACTATATAACAGATTTTCAACAGTGACGCGAATGTTTTCTCTCCGGTAAGTGGCAAGTTCGACCTGGATTTCTCAATTGTCGACGTTTGCAGGCTCAATGGTTTTTCCTAAAAAGAGTAAATGTCAAAGACAAGAGAACAACCTCTCCCCTTCCCGAGTTACCTATCGTAGTATCCTGTAATGGATTTCGATCACAGTCCCCGGCACTAAGTCAGATCCAAGCGCCTGTTTTCGTCTCGAGAAAATCCAAGAGAAGAGATGGAAGACAAAACGACATACATAAATGTCAGGGTAGGAGGTGACTACAGCGCTGGAAGCAGAAGATGTGATCGTCCGAATTCCGTATGGAATTCTGAAATCTCTGGGCCAGTCAGTAGGAGAAGATGAGATAAACAAATTTGGGGCCCATCTCACCTGCCGGCCAGACATACACTCTCAGAAAAAAGGCATTAAGAAAAGGTGTTGAACTGTTGATTCTTTTAGATTTATGTTCATCAATGACGGCATTGTGAGAAAAGCTAGGCCCCAAGTTTGTTCTAGAGTATTCTACGAAGATGCCCCCATGACGTAAGCTCCACCTCCCCTCTCTCTCTCTCTCTCTCTCTCTCTCTCTCTCTCTCTCTCTCTCTCTCTCTCTCTCTCTCTCGCATCCGTCTCCCCCAGTGCAAGTTTCTCGTGCAGCATCTTTCTATCCATCTACCTCTTCACCTCTCCCTCCCCAATGGGCCATTGCCGCGTTCTCAAGGCAGCTAGTTTGATCTCCCACCTACCCCAAGCTAAATCCAGATATTCCAGACGAACGGTGTTAGTACGCCGCCCTCCGGTGGTCACTGAATACTCAGGCCATGGCTCTCCGTGAAGTGCCCCATCGTACATTGATAAGGTATCTGTGGTTCCTCTTTCTGCACGTGCCAGTCAGATATAGGAGAAAGATGGGAGCGAGAGAGACCCTATAAATAAGGAAGGGGAGAGCTTCACACCAAGCCAACCCGAAAAAAAACCGTGGTTCTATTCTAGGCACCGGACAAGGGCTATGGCGAGGCACTCAGCCACCCTCTTCGCTGCGGCGGCCCTGCTGGTGCTGGCCATGGCAGCCGACATGGCTGGAGCGAGCCAGCTGAACATATACAACGGCTCGGGCTGCACCGGCCAGACGACCTACTGCCGCGACCGGGCCTGCTGCATCGTCCCCTCCGACGCCGTGAGCTACAGATTCTACTACAACCCCGAGTGGAAGGCCTACCTCTACGCCTCCAGCAACTGCACCGGCACCAGCAATGGCGTCATCGACGCCTCTGCAGACTGCGTGGCAGGGGTGAGCTTCAAGAGCGCCTTCCTCACCGACAACAACGGCATCGAGATGGTCACCGACAACTGAGAAGCACGTCGGAGGGCCGCGTGGGAGCGAGCCAAGAGAGAGAATAAGAGGCGCTGCCGCCGCCGGACAGTGGTCGCCGCACGGTGATCGCCGGCGATGTCCTTTGTTCGTCGTCTACTTCAATAAAAATGGAGTATCCGGTGGTTTCTTAAGATCTTGGTAAGAGACCGACGAGAATATCCTGTAATATATTCTGTAAGGTTGGGTTTTTGACCAGATTTCTGAACCAGCTTTTGTGGATTGACTATTCATTCGATTCCCGGGAACCGTAGAAAACTAGGCCAAGTTAATTAATTATTATTTTTGTAACAATATAATTATTTGACACGCGTGCCTGAAATATTAACCTATATCAGCTAAAAAACCAGCAAATAAACTAAGGTATATTGAATTATATGATTAAACTCATAATTTCTGACAAAATATGGGACTGTTCTCCGAGGGGAGAGGACGAGAGAGGAGAGACAGGCACAGAGAGAGACAGACAGAGACAGAAATACTGGGCCCAGAACGAAATTTGGGCTCAGCTTATATAGGCCGTGGGCCTTATACTTGGATCATGGCGCCTAGAATATGCTTAGAGATACTCCTCAAGTCAATTGTCCGCATACAGTGTTGGTAGCCACCGCATTGCAATGGAAAATATAATAATATATTTCTATTATTATTAAAATATGATAATTTATTCAAGGAAAGGAAAATAAAGTATTCAAATGGGAAAATAAATAAATAAATTTCTTTTATGTAATTTACCACAAAGGCCCTATCTATCAATCGGCTGAGGCCAGAGACCTCCTCCAAAGCTAAAGCCCAGCCAACTACATGGGAAGAATCAAGCTCTTGGCTCACTGCAACCGACTTCCCTACTTAGAATAGTCTTCTGCTGCATTCACGATCTCCATGGATTGGTGACTCTTTCAAAATCAATGCAATTAAATTAGTCTATTCATTGTGAGTTTCTCTATCTAACCTCGTCCTCCAGTCTCTCTCTCTCTCTCTCTCTCTCTTGATTGTATTTATAAATTGATTTTTAGGCTTATGCCATTGAGAACATATAAGGATGCGTTATAATTTTATACCGAATATGATTTGTTAAAAATATTATTTTTATTTAGTAGTAATTATTGAGTGTGTTCACATGCCTTATGAAGAGGTTTTATTAAGTTATATGCATGAAAACTATATAAGAATTAGATATATCAATGGCCGAGGGATGGTTGAAGCCTGGTCTAGCACTTCTAGATTTTATTAGAGTCGTTGATGGCCTTGGGCTTGAGCCCATTTCCGAGATTGGGCCAATGGAACTTTGAAAAGGATGGATAATATATTATGCTCAAATTTTTAAATATATAATCAGCAGTATTATCAATTCCTTGCGTTAAATATTTTTGAGACAGCGTGTTTTGGAAAAAAACTAAAAATAATATTTATTTTGTAAAATGATATGATTTAAAAGAAATAATATGACTAAGCAAGATGGTTAGTCCGTGGGCCCATTACTTGTATTGGGCCACAGAATACAGTCTCCGAAATAAAGTAGGCCCATTGGAGAGGATGACCACCTCAGCTGCGCTTGCTAATCGGGTCCTTCCAAAGAGCCCAAAGCCCATTCTCTCTCTCTCTCTCTAATGAGTAGGGTGATGTGGAGGGCCGTGCTAAGCGTGGAGTGAGAAACACGCGGGTAGGGGAGGGAGCACCTCTGTTCTCTCCCAGTGGAGGGGAGGGTACTCGGGGAATCTCTGAGCGGCCCACAGGCTTCCTCTCCCGTACGCGTGCCCGCAGACGGGGATTAAAGCTCGAATCTTTCGGGACGTTCCCTAGTTTGGGGGGTTCGTGGGGGACAGGGGAGGGCGGCCCACGAGGTTGCAGCTGACCGATGGAAAGGGGTCCGAAAATGGACAACCAGAAGGCCAAGGGGGATGAGGAGAGGCCCTTCCGCGTCTACGCCGATGGCATCTACGATCTATTCCACTTCGGTCACGCTAGATCTCTCGAGCAAGCGAAGAAGCTGTAAACCCTCGTGATCCAGACCTCTGTAAAATTTCGAATTTCGTCCTTCTTTAATGCGGGCTTTTCTCATCCGTGGGTTCTGGTGCTCCCTGGATCTCGTCTAATGTAGCCTTTGGACGGGTGATCGGTCTCAGGGTCAATCACTTTTTTCTCTTGAACGATCGTCACCTTTTCCCCTCACGATGACCATTTGATTTCGTATTCCTGTACTTCAAATTGTTCATAATGTTGCCTTTGAATTCCCCATTTACTTATCGTTTATATGTGGATATTAATCTACTCCCTCGCCATCGGTCTATTTATTGATCGATCTGTGCATAAATCACCGTCAGTTGAGTTTTCCCATTACTCCCTAAACCTGTCCCCTCAGCACCCTTCCACTCTCTCCTTTTCCTCTTATACACCACTGTTCTTCCGGTTTGCATGTGATTGCGGATTCAATCTAAACTTCTGTTCTAGAGAACATATCCCTCACAAGATTATTAACGTGAGAGATTTTGGTAAAATTCCTTGCAATTATGTTATCGTACGCTATCCATTTTTAGCCTCCTGGTTGTTCTTTTCGCATCTCGCTCTTTCATTGGTCTGTATTTTTAGCACTTTTCTTTTTGGGACGGGATCATATTTCATTGATTGCGTTCAATTATATCCCACGCGTAGATATTCAGTTGATCAGTGCATGCATCTAAGATGGCAGATTAATGCCTCAAACTTAGCGATGCGAGATGCATATCATGCATGTGACTGATTTTGAGAGAAATCAGCAAATTTTCAATTTAAATGAAGGTTTACCGATTAAATAGATAACCTCTTTGAGTTGTTACAGTGGGGTGGCATTCGTAGTTAGGGTCGCAGATGGGGGGTGCCTTGGTTTCATATCCGGACATAGATCAGATGAAGCGTGGAAACTGCCTCTGACTTGAGTGGTTTCTCATGATGTGTTAAGGGTGGACTAGAATTGAGGATAAGGAGGTAGAGCTAGTGGGGACTAAGGGACAAGTATAATCAGCAGTAAAAGATATTTGATAGAAAATTAGATGAGAGATCCAGAATGGGATTGGAAATGGTTAGACATATCTCTTCTTTCTTGTATAATTCAAATTTCGGGATGCCTTGTTCATTATTTCATGAAAAGTTTCTTATTTTTTCTTCCTTTGTTTTGGTTTTTCCTTTTTCAGCAACACAGGCTTTTCTTTTTTTTCTTCCTTTATGGTTTGAACTTTCCAGATCTACTGTGTGTGATTTCTTTATATTATTATTTGTACTGCTGGTGGTTTGCATGATCTTGAGGTTCTATACCTTGTAGATACTGTTGTATTTTTAATATTTATCATTAATTAGCACCGAACAATTGACACCACAGTACAATCCAGGTGGCACCACAATTTTACTTAGTGACTTTTAGTTGATATTATTATTTTTTTAATTCAATTTCTTTTAAGAGGTTTCAAGAGTTAATGCTCTCGATTGATGTTAAGAGCTGATAAAGCTGTTATGAATGTTTTTTATCATTGTACGAAGTTCTTATATAAAAGCCTAATACGATTTAAATGTTGCCTGTGAGCGTTTATCCGTTTGAAGTGATTTATTTATGTTATAGAATAATTAACAGTTCATAAGTTTCATTATATTTTGCATCGGATCTTGGATATCCATATCCCTAATTATTCTTTTGTACCTTGGAAATTGTTTAGCTCCTAATTGGTGTTTACGGATACTGTTTCTTTGCTGTTGTCCTTGGGGAGACTCTTTTGCAAATAAGTGACACATGGATGCATTAAATTTTAAATGGAAAATGGGATTAAAATTATTTTCGTACTTCCCTGGAAGATGGTGATGACCATGTTAACCGACTGTCATTTGAGCCCATAGATTTTTGTAGCTGATCTCATAAAAAGCAGGTAAAATTTTTGGGCAAAGACTCTTGGAGATATTGCTCCCAATAGCTGAGGTCAGTGGTGATTCAGGCAAAGGCTTGTGGCTCAGACATTTTTTGTGTAATCTTAACTAGATATTTTTTGGGTGAAAAAGTGTTCATCCTATATTTTTCATCTGAATTTTTTATGTACTTTTGGTGCAGGAGAATGAAAAATTCTTGTTACTGGAGCTTTTTACTTATTATATTCACATTCAATTCTAGAAATAACCTCTATGATATTGCTGAAAAATTCGAAAGGTTTTGGCTGATGTACATTGCTACTCATTGTAATTATGGATATGCTACATCAGCATTTGTCAATTTTCAGTATCTGACACATTTAAATCAGGTTGTGTTTGCTCTGGTCATTCTAAAGAGAATATATTCTATAATTCTTATGTTAAGATGTCTAGCTGTTTTATTTCGACAAATATCTAAGAGCTAAACAAATGTATGTTATTTTTTATTTTTTCTTCAATTGAAATTTAATGCATGCTGCCTAATGAAAGAGAAAATGCTTAGTTATTCTATGATTATGAAATGTAGGTTTCCAAACACATATCTTCTTGTGGGCTGTTGCAATGATGAAGTCACACACAAGTATAAAGGAAAGACCGTCATGACTGAGGATGAACGATATGAGTCCCTCCGCCATTGCAAGTTCGTATTCCAACATTAAGTTATGTCATTAATACAGTCTTTGATATATTGCAAATTTTATTATTGGGAGCCATTTATGATTATATTCGTTTCCTTCCTTGAGATGTAGTAACTGAACTGCACTATTTGGGAGCAAGGCAGTAGTGTTCTGGAAAAATGTTCTATTTAAAATTTCCAGAGTTATTGTGCTTTTTGGTTATGAATTCTTATGCTAAAAATGTTGATCACGGCATGCACACGATCTTGGCTCTGTTTGAGATCCATGAAAGATCAAGATAAATTCTATAAGATTGGGATGCAAGAGTGCCTGATTACTGAGAATTGTCTTTGAATGATGGTTTCATCAGTATTAACGCCTCAGGACTGCTCAGCATCATTGTTATGCATACTAGAACTAAGACAAGGATTAGGTATGCGTCTGTAAACTTTGAAGAACTACAGCAACGATGAAGTAGGATGTAAATTGAAACTTTGTAAATGACAAGAATCTAAAGAAGAAGCACGTTCCTAGACCAAAAATTTTCAATTATATGGATGCTGTAAGTTTAGGCGGTAGCCTATGTCTCTTGATGGTCGTGGTGTATTGGTAATCTCTCATCAAATGGCCCAATAAGATCCTGGGTTGGGCATTCTTGGAAATTATATAGCGTGATTTTTTGATTTTCAATCTTTTGACAAAAAAGGTGAAAAATCATTTCTGTAAAGCAAAAGCAGTACGATGCATATCATGAAATAATGAAGGTTAAAAGTAGAACATGAGATCCTGGATCAACATTTCTGTTGATCTAACCAGATGTCACATAAGTATGAGAGGGGGATTAACACAAGATATTCTTCCTGTTCTTGATCCTTGCCAATAGATTCTAGCAGCTGACTAGTATCATTAGATATGAGTGCTTCTTTTGATAACTTTCTGGAACCCATTAAAGTTTTGTTGACATATTCTAATGTTTCTCTCGCTCTCCCCATATATAGCTCATGATGCTCCATGTAGAAGTGCCTTCCACATATTGATGTTTTGGGCAAGAGATATTTCGCCGCTGTGTTAATTGTTAAAACCCGTATACTGACCCCACCCAAAAGAACATACACTTTAAACCTGCTGTAAATCTCTGAACTCTATCAAAATAGGTAGTCTTTTATTTACTAGCTGTATCAAGGAAAAATATTCTACGGGACACTATTCTTCTGCACTAAGCTTGTCTTCCAAATTGTGTGACTTCTATGTAACTAGTTTTCACACAGTTTTTCAGATATTTTGCATAGTTTTCTTTATATGGATACTTAATACGGCTGGTTGCTTGAGCCTCATATTTTCTTAAATACGTTATTTTATATCCTCGAAGTGTGCAGGGTTCCAATATGATCTAAAATTCAAGATACCTTAGAAGAATCACAAACTTTCCCCGATCTGAAAGAAGTTCTTTCAGCGTTATTTAATAACTAGAAAGCAACCTGTTCTAGGGTATAGGCTTGTAAGTATAGTTAATATGAAGAAAATCTGAAATCTCTTTATTACAGCCTGTTTGGTGTGTACTGCTTATCATCGTCCAATTTTATGTGATTTAATGTTTCCTTATAATTTGGAAGATCTTCTTCCTGTTTTTGTCAAAAAAAAATAAATCTGATTTTCATTCTTTTGCCGAGCATTAAAATTTATTTTTGTATATACCATAGGTTGGACGAGGTTGTTTCCTGAAAATTATGTATAGTGCTTGGTAATCATAATGTCGTTATATAGTTGCATTTCAATTCTCTGTGTGACCACTTCAAGAAATTATCTGAACTTACGGTTTTATATCTCTATAAAACTTGCAAACTGCATTTCATTTGAGTGCATCGATTCTTTCACAGATGGGTTGATGAAGTCATTCCTGATGCTCCCTGGGTGATCACGCAAGAGTTCCTTGATAAGCATAAAATTGACTATGTCGCACATGACTCTCTTCCGTAAGGTCAACCAACCCATATTCATTAGCAACATTGTTATGCTCTAGTATATTTCAGATTGACTATCATCCTTTGCAAGCTTTCCTATCTTGTTTGAGAACTGAACATATGTGGTTGTTTATTAACATCCAATGAATATCCAGAATTCAAGGCAGAAAAAGAAAAATAAAGCTGTAGGATGCAATCTTATCATTCACATATTCATTTGGATGATCTATCATTGCTCCTACCATTGGTTCTTTCTCCATCTCCAAGCAGATTTTCAATGGTTACTAACAATAGATGGATATCCAGAATTTTACGCATAAAGAAACACAGCGAATTTGTAGGGTGTAATGTTATATTTTGCACAGTCAAAGTTTTCCTTGATGAAGACTGTTTTGTTTCGTCTCACCATTCGTCTTTTTCTCCATGCCGAATTTATGTAGATATGCTGATGCAAGTGGAGCTGGAAATGATGTTTATGAGTTCGTAAGTTGTCTACATATCTTTCAGATTACATCCCTCATTCATTGTAATCATTTGCACGAGTCTCCCCTTCCAGGTCAAGGCTGCCGGAAAGTTTAAAGAAACAAAACGCACAGAAGGAATATCTACGTCTGATCTTATAATGAGGATGCTTAAAGATTATAATCAGTATGTGATGCGCAACCTAGCACGCGGGTACACACGGAAGGATCTTGGAGTTAGCTACGTGAAGGTATGCTCATGTACACCATCTGCATTTTATTTTTTTAATGTCGGATTTTATTTTATTCATCTTCTTTTTGATAAATAATGGAGAATGTTTCATCATTGAGATGATCGATTATTGGCTACTTTGAATTCTTACATCAGGAAAAGCGTCTGAGAGTGAACATGGAAATACAGAAACTGCGTGATAAGGTGAAGGAGCATCAAGACAGAGTGGGAGAAAAGGTAACCTTCATGTCTAACCATGGCTTTTATAATGAATAGAATTACAATTTGTGCGATTCAATTTGCTTTTCAGATGGGAATCATAGATTTTTAGGTCAATGATTTAATTTGTGTATATTCAGCTGAAGGGAATGGAAGAAGGATTGGCCAAGAACAATGACGCTCTTTGCTTTTGGTTGATGTATCACATGATTTTTCGCCGATTTCAATATTAGAAAACATCAAGATCAATGCCATCTGGAGTACAAGACAGCGGAGGCATATAGATTTGCAAGCAAAAGGCGACATTAGTAACTGTAGCGCTGCAATTTGGTTTTTGTTGGGAGATTTCTCCAACCCTGGTTGGGTCTAAGCTCTACTAAAAGCTATGACACTACAGGAGAAAGTTTTGGCTTGATGTATCCTGATTAACTTTTCTAAGCGTTCTGCTCGATCACTTTTTTGATGGGAAGATCTCATGGATATGCTGAAATTTACAAAGAAAATAAGTCCATTAGTACCAGAAAACCAAGCCTTTCCAGGGGCACTCTGATTAACCTTATATCATGGCCTTTGTAACCTTGGCATGGCTTAACAGTAAGAGAACCTTGCTTCTGTTTTGCAGAAAGAGGTGCAAAATACCTCTCCCCACTCAGGCTTTTGTTCATGATCTGCCTCTGCTAGTGTTTTATTGGTTTACAGAAGAAATGGTTGAGTATAAGATTAAAAAAAAAGGCCCAAGGACAAGCTGTAACCCAGGGCTTTAAACCTATAAAAGAAGAAACTTTTGATAAGTTCGGGGCTGTGTGGAAATATTGAGAGGGTCAAACTTTTGCCCATATTTGGATATTAGCTGGGAGGGGCGTTATTTCTCTGCACCTCTTCCAGCACATTTTGTTTGTTTTCTTCATAACATGGTGGCTGAACTTGTTTATTTTAGCCTCCTTTCTCTTTCTCTTTTCCAGCACATTTTGTTCTTGATAACACCTATATTTTGCTCTAGTCATCTGTTTTTCTATTCCTGGTGAATTTCTCTTCTGGTCTTGGTGTACTTCGCGCTGGGGGCATCAACAGGCTGAGCCAGGCCTGGGCCTTGCACAGCCTAGATTTCCCTTGGGCATGGTAGAAAGCCTGCTGACCCAACAATGGGTGTGCAGTTGGTGGTAGGGGGTGGAGGGATGCGGTCACTCTCCTCCATCCATTCCAAATATCATCTGTTTTAACATGATTTTCCCCTCTTACTGTCCAACTGGATGTAAATACGTTTACCTTGGGTCAAAATTGCGTCTTGTAGCTAACACTGACTATGTTATCTGCTGCAGTTGTCTACTGTCAAGAAGACGGCTGGTGTGCTGCATGATGCATGGGTGGACAATGCGGATCGATGGGTTGCTGGCTTCCTTGAAAAGTTTGAGGAAAGCTGCCATATCATGGTCAGTAACAAACTCGAAATATACCTTGTTAGTTCACTTTTTCTTCCCCTCTTCCGTCATGTGGTTCATATGATATCTTGGTATCTGGCATTAGGGGACTGCCATCAAGAATCATATACAGGAGGGCATAAGAAAGCAGAGAGGGCTCAGCTTGCTACAGTACGATGATGAGGATGACCAGGATGATGAATACGAGGACGTGGATGAAGGGTGAATACTGGTTTATTAGGTACGTATTATGAAATATTCAGCAAAATGACCCTCGCCAAAAAATTTCATATCTTATTTTATTCTTGTGAAAGCATGGTCTTTCTTACTTGAGAGTCCTCTGTAACCAGGGTTTAGTTAAACCAACTCAGCCCAAGTACATGGCTTGTAATTAGGCTGTGGAAAAATAGGATTTCTCTGGTTTTGAATGGAGTCTATTTGTACTCTGATTGGGGGGCGTTCAGGTTGCAACGGAGTTTTCTGCCAAATGGGTTAATATCTTCCTGTGAACCTGATGAATGGGAATCATCTGGTGCGTGGTGTGAGTTTCAGTTTACCAATGAAGATTTGGTTTTCCTCCCGTTCTTATAATGTTTTTGTAGTAATTTGGCACACAATATACTTAACTAGTATATTTCTCGAAAGTTATGTATATATATTTTATTTGGTATAATTATTGAATGGGAAATTATTCACGGCTTGTGTCAATGATGGGTGATTACCTTCGTTGCCTTAAAACATTTCATACAGAATTATATATTGGCGGTGGATCTCTCAAGAACATGCTAATGATAGAAGCCCTCTTGTCTCTATCCTCTTTGGGTAAACGATATCTGGTTTTCTGTTAACAAAAACGTTCTACATGCTGGGTTTATCGTATTCTGGGAATAAGATGACACACTGGGTATGCCTCAGATTGGAAACAACCACAAGTCACCGACTGCTCTCTTACGAAAGTCTCACCATGAACTGGCCTACTAACATTCACCAGTCTTACATTTCTTGAGGGTATATATGACGAAAAGGCGAGCTTGCCGAAAACCAGGTTCCCATATGATGATTGCATGGATATATATAGATAGCGATAGGGAGAGAGATCGATAGAGAGAGAGAGAGAGAGAGAGAGAGAGAGGTTTTTCCCATGAACATCCTTGGAGCTAGAGAGTACGGAGGGGGTTTTGATTTGGTGCGTTGGTCAAGTAAAGAAGAGGGAGAGGGCTCTTTTTCCGTCAGCATTCTTGCTTCTGGGAATGGGTAAAGGAAGATTTAATCCTGGACGGAGGACTTAATTTTTTGATTATTTGTTGATCTTAAGTCGGAACGGGAGGCGTGCACCAAGCATATTATTTTAGCGTCTCCCTCACATCCGTTGACCCACGAGGTGAAATCCTCCCCCTCTCTGATGATTTTCTATTCACATGGTGCAAATATAATAAATAAAATTATCAACAAAAAAAATATACGTCACGAGCGTTCAAGTGGGTTCTCGTTGACAAGGTCTGTCTGTCTCTCTCTATCTGTCTCTCCATCTGTCCGTCTCAAGACAACTATCCTCACCTACTACACGTGCTATACAATTCAGTTCAGAGCGGTGGGCCTCCAACCCTGGATTTTATATCTCCGGAAGAAAGAAGAAAAGATTACCTTGCTTGATGAGCTCTCTGTCCATCGCCGTTGACATTTATCCGCGTAGACTTCATTGACAAAGCAATAAATCTCCAGTCTTTGGAATCAGAAGAGTTGCCCTCAATCTGTCTTCTGCATCTTCACGACCGCCCTCGAGGATTCGCCGCGCTTAGTTCATCTCCTCTCCCACCTTCTGCCGCCGGTGCCGGCGCCGCGAGACCATGGGATTAGTACTGTCAAGCATATGCCTGCCCCTCAACGAGCTGCTGCTGAGTCCTCTGAAGACGGCGGCTTCGAACTCCATCTCTTTCCTGAAGGAGAAAGTGGGCGGCCCGATCACCGGACAGGCCCTCCTCTTGAAGGATAAGGCGGAGCAGGTCGCAGCCTTGAAGGACCAGGTTGAGCAGGTCGCCGCCTTGAAGGACCAGGTAGAGCAGGTTTCCCTCCCAGACGCTGTTACAGCCAGAACCCAGGAAGTCCGAAGCCTCCTTGGAGACGCACCTTCAACATCTCTTCTGGAGCCATTGACGGCGGAAAAGACTTCCGATATTCTGGGGAAGAAGCTAAACCTCTTTTAAAATGAGTCTCTTTCTCTCTCCCTCTCGATATGTACATCTATATATTTCCATATATTTCTCTCTGTATTTGTGTTTGAGCATCACGGCTAAAGTTTTTCGAATCAATACGGCGTTGTTTGTCATTTGTAAGCTTGAACGTTTGATGTCCAGTGAATAACGTGCTTGCTGTCCTAAAGAACACGTTTTCCGATTACTTCTAATGGTGGTATGCGAATTATTTCATCTTCAGCAATAGCCATAGATTGATATTCGTACACATAAGTTTAATGTTTCACAGTCTGAAAATCGTGGTCTTATGAAAACCCTTTGCCATGGGTTAATGGTTGAGTGCATCCGAAATGTTCACCATCGACAATTATTTGACCTATATTCTAAGACTAATACTACTCATCACGTTAACCTTTAAGGATGAAATCCCAAAACAGTTAAAATTTAGCCTTACTGGAAAGCATGACAGCAGACTGGAGCCTATTTACGAATAAATCATATGGCATACAACAACTTATGAATAAAATTAGTTTCTGATTGGAGGAGATGAAAACCTTTTGAAACTACGAGGCTCTTGAGACTTCGTTTAAGGGCTTAAAATGCCTTTGATGATAAATGAGATGGGTCCCGTTTGCTTCTCTAGGCAACAACTATGTTTGACTACGCCAAGTGGCCGTTGCATAGAGCATATTTTCAGTCATGGCCTAAGAAACGGGACAGATTACGCAATTAAAACAATTGATGCAAACAAGGGCCGAATAAATTCATGAGATACTTCGAGGTGTGCTTTAATGGTTATTATTTATTGCCTGGAAACCAGTACGGGTACTAGAATCTTATTGCAACGTTTTCTTTATGATTACGACAAAACATCATCCAGCTGATGGAGAACTAAATAATCGGCCATTTATTCACCCATATCTACTTGAACATTGCCTTAGGCCCCAATTGAGAGAGCACGTTGCCGTCTCTTTAGCCTCACATCTCCACGCTCTTGAAGGGGAACCTGTAGCTGTGGCAGGTTCCCTTGTCTAGAAATTTACTGTAATAGCCGTTGTTGCAGTTACCGCCTCCTTCTCCTCCATGTACACGAAGTGGAAGCCGTGGTAGCTGCTGACGTCGAAACAGCCGCAGCCGAAGATGATTCGATTTGGGTCTGGGGGTTATGCCGGGTTTGAGTAGTAAAGCGCGCTCGTCCATGAAAATGCGAAAATCCATGGGTCGTCGAGTCGCGGATTCTTAATCTGTGGTCTTTCAAAACAGTACTGAGAATTAAGTTGATCTTACTGAGAACATCTAGTCAAGGTGCATAGTGCATGGCACTACCTTTAATAGACCACCGATATGTGAAATAATTCTGATTGAAAATCTAGCGAAGCACTTGGTATTCAAAACGTTCGGTTCAGAGGCAAGGGAAAAGTTCCTGAGTTGATGTAAAGGCTCGTATTTCTCTTCATGTAGAGAGATAAGTCCCACCCGCCGGAATCGTGAAATTTAGTTTGGAGATGTTGAGAGACTTGATCTTAAGCTGATACGGCTGGATCGAACGATCAGGCATAATAATAGTGAATGCGCAATAATGAGAGAGACAGAGAGAGGGAGAGAGAGAGAGATTCCTATGTACGCACTTGTAATCAATGAGAAAAGAAAAAATGTTTCATTGAATGATTAATCTTTTTGGATGGATCTGGTCTGGTGTACGCCACAGTGTTTGACTTGGTTGATCTACATGAAGGAAACCCATAATCTCAGACCGGTCATAAAATTGTATCATTCGTGAAGAAATAACTCTGTGGAATTTTGCTCATTTCCTTATACCTAAAACAGTTGAGTGCAGAGTTTTAGAAGATATCCAGAAATAGAGATAGTAGAGGTGAGTGATGTACCAATGAAGACCAAGTGGTCAGAGATGAAGCAAAATTGGGCAGGTATGTTCATAAACAAATAACTGGTTGATAGGTAGGACCTGTAGTCCTGTGTCCTGAGCTCTATTCAATTTCCAATATGCTCGACTAAAACCTCTTTTATGGGTTATATTGTTCGAAAATGTAACTCAAGGTAGTTCCATTTATGAAATTTAGCATTATTATCCTCCATGAAGTACCCGTAGGTAAAATACGAGATGATAAGTAATGTTTATCACTACCTAGCTTTCTTTTTTGATATCTGTGATCAGCTTTGATAAATACTCCTGTGTTTCTCGAATCTATCAATATTTTATGCTCTGGGTGAGGCCTTGGTACGTCTGGGAATGGCTTCCAAATCCTTGTTATTTTAAAGTCTAACTCTTGTTTATCAAGAGTACAATTTGTCATCATTGTCGGACTTGTATTGCTCTAATAGTGAGAATGTTCACTTCCTATGATGAAATACAACCAAATAGTATAAATACCAAGAAGAAGATGGATGACAAATCTGCCACCCAGTTAAGTATGGATGAGCTTAAAATATCAAATGAAATATAATGAATTTGACAAGATTGAATCTAAATGAAGAAAAATTAAAAAGTGATGAATCAAGATTTACATGGTTCAGGAAAATCTTCCTACATCCACGAAGAGAGATAAAGATCCTTTCAATGGGGAACATATTGAAAGAGAGCTAAGATAAATGCCAACCTAGTAATCTCATCGATATATTTTAATACATTCAATGTGTCATAAACATGTAATATGAGAAAAATCACGAAGAAAAAAAAAATACAATTTTCATATGTGCCTCTCCTCTAATCATTTCAACATAAAGTTGTTAAACGTTTTTTTACACTAACTAGGAGCTTGATTCAAACTATAAAAGAATCTCTTAATCTTGCAAGCAAAATTTTTAGTTTCCTATTAACAATTTTATTTTACATATATATACCTTTTTATCTAAATTTACATGCAAAAATACAAATTTTTATATCAAGTTTGTTGAATTCCATATAAATACTAAAACAAACATAACTCTAATTCAATAGTATTTTACTAGAGGAAAGAAAACATTATGGATTTTAATATATTTTTCATAAATCTTATTCTTACTAAAATAGTCTTACATTCAAATAGCTCTTATTACATTTTGGGCTGCACTTAGATAAACAAGAGGGGTTTGAATTGAGTTGGTTCTTAATTTTGACTTGAGTCAACTTATTTAATCCTTTAGGTGGTCAATAACATATTTTTTTGAGAAATAAATACCCCTTTCTTTTAGTGAGCAACTTCAGTACTTCGAGCAATGGAAGTATTTTAATTTTCATAACATCTTAATACCAAATTCTTCTAATAAACACCTACATAAATATTATTTGTTCCTTCTCATGATTCTGAGTTAGTATTATGCCATCTATATAGATTAGTAGAGCTGTGGTTTCCCCTAAAGGTGAATGTCTAATAAATATAGTATGGTATTCATTACATTGTCTATAGTCAATCTTTCACATCACCTTTGTGAATCTCCCAAATCAAGTTCTTGATGTTTGCTTTAGCCTATATAGAGCTTTCTTTAGCATACATGCTACCATTGGAACTTGCCTTATATGCTTGAGAAATTTCCATAAAAATTTTCATATCAAGTTTTCCATGTAAATAAATATTTATTGCATTGAACAATTATGTATCCCAATCATAATTAACAATTAAAGAAAGCAATATTTTAACAATATTGTTCATTACATTTGATGGAAATGTTTGAAAAGAATTATCATTTGAGTTTAGGTATAGGCTTTATCTACTAATATGACTTTATATCTATATATTGTTCCATGTACTTTATATTTAATTTTATATACCTGATAATTATAAATTATTGGTTAATCTATGTATTAATATCTTATATATAGATGCTAATTAATAAATAGATAATATAATTATACCTATTATTGACTCATTATGACATTCATAATATTTTATTATTTAAGTCATAATACATATTATTTATTTTATTTTATTTATATTACGAAACTAACCTCACTTTACTTTAATAAAGTTGTGGTGCTTCTCTCATATTTTCTTAATAATTATTTGATTGCAAAGCCTAAGGTGAGCTTTTATTATGAGTTGGAAGTAATGGAAAAGCCTAAGTCTTATGCAGAGGGCCAACTTAATATATTTATGAGCCCAAGAGAGGGTGTCACCTTTGCCTAATCTATTTGGATCTAAAAAGACTATCAAGAGATGAGATTTAGGCCGTCAATCTTAGGGCGTCTTAAGATGAGATTAAGAGAAGGATTAGAGTAATACTCACATAGAAGAATTTGGGCCGTTCAATAAGAGTGTTGATTATTAATCATAACCGTTTATTAGAGGGGCCTAATTCTCAAGAAGATTAAAGTATTTCACTCCCCTCTTAGAAGACACTTTTTGACTCTCTCTTTAGCCGTAGCTAGTCAAAGGAAATAAGAGGAAAATCAAGGCCTAGTCAATAGTATTCTTGTGCTCAAGATCATCGTGGAGAAGAGATTACCTAAAACACATCAAGATTGTCATGGATCAAGCATCACTTGACTTAGGATTGATGAAGAACAAAGTTTGTATGAAATTCAGATTTGGGGCATTCTTGTAATCCTTCCCATAGATAGATTAACTCTCAATTTGAACTAGTTTTATCATTTATTCTATCATTTCATTGCGTTAGATCTATTCTCTCTATTTTTTTATACTTTCCATTTTTCTTGTCTTCAGCTTTTTTAGATTTAATTTTGCCCTTCACAATCTCAAATATATGTATATATCTATAAGCAATAAAATAAGTAAAATTCTTATTCTCATTACCCATACTCCTTGAGGATTGACCCTTACTTATCCTAAACAGAAGAGTAAGGTTTTATAAATATTATTTACATGAACTTGATTGTATCATGATGACATATTTAACCTCTAAATCTAGTTCATCAATACTCTTCTAAAATATTTTTTTTTTATATTTATTTTGATAATTTGACAAGTGTTCACATTTGATTCATCTCTTCATTCATAACTTTTTTTTCATTCTTCATGAGATAATGTCTTAGAGATATTTGATAGGATGAACGA